CCTACCCCCTGCCAACCTCCTCTTTGCGTGTATCCCTAGCCAAAATGTCTTTTACTCCCTGGGAAGAAGGACCAAAAAACCGAGGCGTTGCAGAGCCGAGCTGTCTTTGGGAAATATGTTGCGTTGGGAAAAATCTGTTGCGCTTGAAACGCCGGTACTCAAGAGGGAATTGCAAAGCTGTTTGAGAGCCTTGATTTATCCCGAGCGCTGGTGTGAAAATGCCATCAAATAAAAGATTTCTTGGAGGGGGAAAGAAGAGAGGAGAGCTACGCCCTGGTGTATGGCTATTTTGTGTCCTTCGACCCCTGGCTCATCCTTCTGCGGTGACAAAGGCAGCGTCCCCCGTGCCATGGCACCCCGCCGAACGCTGGCTGAACTTTTGATCATGGCAAAACGCAAGCGGGATCTCGCTCTGCCGGCAGTCCCCAGCCATCCGGCAGCGCCGGCAGAAACCAAGCGGTGGAAAAAAACCAACCCCAAAACAACTAAGCTGTGCTGGCTGCAGCCAAAGGAGAGAAACCCCTGGCACCCACCCCTCCCCTTTCACCCCCGCTAATAAAATCAAGGTGGGTTTGCCTGGGGGGGACACACCGACACGCAACGCGACAACACGCTTGCCAAGTCAAGATGCCTTTCCCGAGCCTGAGCTTCCCTCCGAGGCTCCTTAGACGGTTCCCAACCCAGAGCAAGCGACACAAAACAGCTCCTGCGGTGCAGCGGAGGCACATCCGACACAGGCATGTATTTTATGTCATGAGGTGATGCCATTTTGTGCTAAATATCAAGTTTGCTTTTAAATAAGGAGGTTGGGAAAGGAATGGACGGCTCTGCAGAGGAGCCGGGAAGGGAGAGAACGGCGATGCTACAAATGCACACCCAAGACCGACACGCACGGAGGTTACAATGCCTTTTCTCAAGCTCCTTTTGCGGAGCTGACAAAGGATTCCCAGAGCCACCTGCAACCAGGGCGGGGAGAGGGATTATTTTTAGCTTTTACCAAAACGAGCTTTTTTTTAATTGCAAACGAGCTCAGACGGAGCTGAGCGCAACACCCAGGTGGAGGCAGACCTGGGTGCCGGGGAGGGTTTGGGGTTTGACGCTCAGAGCTCACCTGTCCAGGGCGATGGCTGTCATGGAGTAGATGCTGGCGAAGACAGCGGCGATGGGGAAGAAGTTGTGAAACTTGCAGTAGAGCAGCCCGTAGTACCACTCGTTGTGGATGGCGTAGGTGAAGTTCACCACTGTGTTTAAGGCGGACATGGAGGCTTCGGCAAAAGCCAGGTTCACCAAGAAGTAGTTGGTGACGGTGCGCATCCTCTTGTGAGCCAGGATGATCCACATCACCACCACGTTCCCCACCACTGACACCACCACGATGAGGGCATAGGCGACGGCCCACAGGGCCACCTGCCACGGGGGCTGCACGAACTGGTTCGCGAAGGACTCGTTCAGGGAGGCGTTGAGCAGCCACTGGTGCTCCAGCTCCGCTTCCAGCGGCGGAGCGGTATCCATCACACCACGATGCAGCCCGACCAGGCACGCGGATGCTTTGGGGTGCTGGTCCCTCCTGCTTTAGGGTGCAGCAGGATCAGGGTGTATGGATGCTTTGGGATGCAGGTCCCTCCTGGTTCAGTGTGATGCCATTTTGGGGTGCATAGCTGGGTCAGGGCACAGGTACCCCCCAGTTCAGGGGACAGCTGTTTTGGGGTGCACAGCTGGTTCAGGGCATAGGTCTCTCCTGGTCCACGGTGCAGCCAGTTTGGGGTATAGGACCCTTCTGCTTCAGAGTGCAGTGGGTTTGGGGTGCAGGTCCCTCCTGTCTCGGGGTGCAGCTGGAGCAGGGTGCCTGGCCATGTCAAGGCACACCGCTAGTTTGGTGCACGGGTCCTTCCCAGTTCAGGTACAGCCAGACTGGGATGCACAGCTGGATCAGGGCACAGGTCCTTCCTGGTGCAGCAGCAGCTGCACCAGGCTGCAGATTCCTCCTGATTCGGGGCACAGCTGGTTCAGGATGTGGGTCCCTTCCAGTTTGGGAGGGGAGCAGGATGCGGGTCCCTCCCAGTTCAAGGTGCAGCCGGTTTGGGATGTGGGTCCCTCCTGGTTCAGGACTGGAGTGGGATGCGGGTCCTTCCCAGTTCGGGACTGGAGAGGGATGCCGGTCCCTCCCGGTTCAGGGTGCCACCGGTTCAGGATGCGGGTCCCTCCTGGTTCAGGATTGGAGAAGGATGCGGGTCCCTCCTGGTTCGGGTGCAGCCTGTTCAGATGCAGATCCCCGCTGATACAGGACCAGAGCAGGATACGGGTCTCTCCCGGTATGGGACCGGAGCGGGATGCGGGACCCTCCCCGTTCAGGATACGGGTACCCCCCCCGTGCGGGACCGGAGCGGGATGCTGGTCCCCCCGTGTCAGGGACCAGAGCGGGATGCGGTTCCTCCCCGGTGCGGGGCCGGAGCGGGAGCGGGATGCGGTTCCTCCCCGGTTCGGGGCCGGAGCGGGAGCGGGATGCGGTTCCCCCCCGGTTCGGGGTGCGGGTCCCGACCGGAGCGGACCGCGGGTCACAGCCGGTGCCGCGGAGCC